CAGCCCTGTGGTGAATCCCGGGCTGCCTGAGACACATCACAGRGTGGACCTACAAAGAGGACCCGGACACTGCAGGGAGCTGGTGGTAGCCAGRACATCCACGTAGGCCCTTTCTGGCTGCCTCTGGGCTCTGTTTCACCACAGCACTGAGATTGTGGTGAGTGAATGACACTAAAAAAGTCCATGGTATGACTGCTGCACATGAGGGCTTCCGGGAGCAGAGCCGTGCGGAGCATTTGTTGTCTGAAATGTTTCAGCTTTCATCCACTGCCAGAGGCAGTGCTGGGATGCGGTCAGCAAGGATGCAGTCAGATGTCATGTAGGAACCCATCAGTGCCCCCAAYAAGAGCACAGCCGGGCACCAATGGGCTGGCAGCAGCTCTGCAGAGGTGTCCTGGGGTCTGGTGGATKTCAAGCCGAGCAGCAGCCAGCCATGTGCCCTGGCAGCAGAGAGCACAACGGCCTCCAGGGCTGCATGAGCAGCAGCAAAGACCCAGGGACACAAATATACCCCTGCATTCATCACTGAGATCACACACCAGGTAATGGGACCTCCCAGTGAAAACAATCGTTACAGCAGAGGGCCACGAGGATGGCTGGCCTTTGAGGAGACGCTGGGTGAGCAGGCCTCGTTCAGCTTGGAAAAGGCCCACGGTCAGGGACACCTGACAACAGCCCCCAGAGCCTGTCCCTCCCTTGCAKATGATTCCAATTTGCTGTTGGGATCCCAAGGCCTCATCCTTGAACACTGTCCCTTTTCACCAAAGAGAACCAAAGTGCAGTAGCTCCATGGTAGTCAGATCAGTTTGTAGGACTAGTCCCAAGACCATCTCCATGACGCTGTTATACTGATTTTGAGGAAGCACTTTTCTCCTCATTTCTGTTGAATAGTGAGAGGAACCACTTAACTCCGCAAATCTGGACAAGGCAGCAGTTCTTTGCTGTGCTATTCCTGGGATGTTTGGGTTACAGCTTACAAAAGGCAACCCGTTTGCTTCAGTGCTATGACGTCAAATCCACATGCTRTACAGGGTCCCAGGCAGGAGGCGATCACAACCAAAGGCCAAAATTCAAGCTGTGTGGAAGCTTCTCTGCTTATGCTTATCACACACCGCCGTTTGCTTTGATAAGTACTTAGAAAAAGTGGAGGTCCTACATAGTGCTAACCGCTGAGAAAGCAATGTAGGATTTCCTAATATCTCTCTAGACATAGATGCTTTCTATGTTTCCAAACGGACATCTAGAAATCAAATAATTCAAAAGCAGTACAAACCTATGAATTTGTTACTGTGGGGTAAGAGAGGCATGAACCTGCAGTATGTCAACTGGTCCAGGGTAGCTTCACTTGTCCCGACTGTGGGAATGAGTCAAGTTTCTTTAGCTCCCCAGAAGGTAGTAGATTGAAGGTGGGCATTCCTATGCTGCGGAGCCCCAGGTTCATAGAGCAGCTGTCCCACCATAGCTACCCCATTTGCCCTCCTGCATCAGGCAACATCATCTTTCTCTGTTGTCTTCCCTTTCAGAGCTCAGCAGTGGCCATTCCTGTTTAAGCCTCACAGAAGGTTGATACAAAAGACACGGTCTCTGCAGAACTCCCCAAATGACTCTTCCCAGCCGCCTCTCCCAAACAAACACCATGGTTCTGCACAGGACGCACAACCAAGGGCCAATCCCTGTGCTGGAGAGTGGTCACTCAGCAACCTCCAACGGGGACAAAGACCCGGCCTCCCGAGCACCAGAGATCCCCGTGCTCGACGCTGCCCTCCGGAAAGGAGAGCGCGGCCGCACTGCGCATCCCAGGGATGCGGTTCCGCATGATGCGGAGGGCCCTTCATTCACAACACGGTCAAAAGGAGCCCAGGGTGTTCACAGCTTGCCGGGATTGCGCTGGTGTTGGTTACACCCCCAGCTATTGGAGGCAAACCTTGGCCTCTTAAAGCTCTCTGCCTCTCTCCTGTGCCTTTGTGTTCTCTAGAAGGTGAAGCGTAAGGGTATAAAAAGCTGCAAACAGTCCCTACCTCTGGAGACCAGGCATTTACTCTAAGAAAGAAAGACCAATTGCTTCCCAGAGCATTGTCCATCCACATTAGAGAAAGGATTAAGCAGATACATTCAGCTATTCTAACAGATTTTCTTTAAACCTTGAATACGCCTCTCACACTCAGTAAGATAATCACATTAGTTTTGTCATTAAAAGATCCCTTTTATAGAAAGTACCTAAACCGCTTAAACCACCCAGAGAGGTCGCATACATTAGAAAACAACAAGACAAACGGAAGGGATTTGCTATTCCGGGTCTTAGTGTTTCACTGCACCTACTTTCTAAACTGGGGGATTGAACTAAAAGGTTTTGCAAATGATCAGCAGAGGGGGAAGCAGCAGCAGCCGGCCCCGCTTCCCACCCCCGGCCCGGGAAAGGAGCCCCCGCGGTCACGGATGAGAGCGCAGGGCCCTGTGCGAGGAGCTCTTGCTCCCCGCCGAGGTCACGCAGACGCCTACAGCAAAGGCGGGCAGAGCTCCGGGATGCACAGCGTCTCCCTTGGCAAGTCTCCTGAGAGCTATGGAGGCTGTGAGCAAGACAAAAATAGCCTAAAAATAGCCTCTTTTTTTAAAAAAGAATCAACTGACTACTTTGAAAAGCACTTAGGGACRGTAAATTCACYCCCAATATCATCCTYGTGTCAGATCTTTTACCTTCAGTGYTCAATATTATCGTAGCTATTGCTGTGCTACAGACATAGATTCTGTTAATCTGGCCAGGCAAAGGCAAATCATTTAGGTTTTTAACGTGGGTAGTCTTAAGGTCTGATTCATGAAAAAAGAATAATTTATTTTTAAATCAATGACTTTATTTTAAGAACACAAGAGCAAAYAAAGACAAGGCTAGATTAAGAAACATAGACAAGAGTAGCAACACAATTTGCCATACGTTCATACTGATGGCATTACCACAGAAAATGACAGAGAGACAGAAAACAGCATTCAAATAAAGCCAAGTAAATGATCATTCATAAAATGGTATTAGGGACTACAATGTCACATATTAACATTTCCTTCCATAGTTTCAACTTCAGAAAGATTTATGTTTTACAGACCATCTATTCAGCAGCTTATTTCTGAACCATGTGGCATACRTGTTACTCACCCAGCTCTGAGAGGACAGTTTGGGAGTTGAGGCTTTATTACCCCAACAGCACAAATCCATCTGCAAAASAGCCTCATTCTAGTACAAGTAACTGTCAGCTTTGCCAAGGCTGCGAGTATTCAGGTCACAAACMTGAGCAGTTGCAGATCGATATTATTTTTGCTTTCAACTCAAGTGACCATAAAAATGCTTCATTTTTTTCTTCTAAATGTGATTTCCCCAAACACGTGCCACCCGTTACATTGGCTACAGACAGCACGGATGTGTTCTCCTGAATCACGGGAGAGCTCAAGCCTTGCACAGCTTGGGCACAGCTGGTCCTTGCTTGAGGTCGGCTTGGAGTATATGATCCCCTGRGCTCTTTCCACACTATATTTATGGGTCTTTCATATCACCTTTTTGATTGTCAGAAGACATTATTCTGCTATTTGTCACAGAAGATGCTGATATATCAGCCATCAATGTAAATTTTTTTAACATCTAGAAAACTCCTCAGCTTATTCCTGTTTCCTTCCAATTCCATATAGTGTAGATTTAAGACAGCTACAATACTCCTTAAGAGCAGATGCAGTATTCTTTTTTCTTAAAGCTGACCACAACACATCTGGTGCAGAGAGAGCACAGGATGCAAAACTCACCCTGCAGTCTCACTCTGCATGCACTTTTCTGAGACTTGGTTCCTAGAGATGCTTTCTTTTCTGTAGCCTCCTCTGACGATGCAGGATCTCATTATCTTCAAAGTCAAAATTACCCGTGAGCCCAGCAAGGCGCCGGCAGAAGCTACGTGGCTTCTTCCCAGTGCCCTGCAGCCTTGGTCCTCCCCTAGGACCATTTCGGGCTTCGCATCCCAGCCAAACCCCACTTGCCGGGTCAGTGGTTGCGTTGATGGACCAGGAGGTCAGTCCATACAACCTTCAGCATCACTCACAGGCAGGACGTGTTGTCTGGCTTGGACTGAAATAATTTTCAAAATTATGGCAACTAGCTAGTACATGTGCTCCTTGCTAGTTAAACCTCTCAAATGGGAAACTACCAAATGCAGAAACTCAAAGGCTGTTATCCTAAACGCTGTGAGCATAAGTGAGCATCAGCTCAAATACTGTCACCTTCCACCGCAAGCTAAGTATAAAGCTGAYGGTACTTACATGTCTGCAGAACTCCAAATCTGCCTGGGGATAAAAATGTATGTCCTTGCCAAACAAAATCCATCTCCAGAAGCTCACATTTCTGTAAGACTGATGCTCTGGGTAGAGTTATCATTAATTCTTTTTTCATTTTGCATTTTGCATTTTTTTCTCATCAGTGGGAAAGGTGTATTTTAATTCGAATCATTCATGACGTACACCAAGAACACACATAAGCCTGAAGGGAAATATGGCCCACCAGGACATGACGGATGAGGGGAGGGGGAAGGTATCAATTTCCAAAGCTCCTTTCTGCTCTCAGCTACACAAAACAAGCAGGCAGAGCTCATGTAAATGAGGTAGCCAAAAAACCTAGATAGTCCCTCACTAGCATATATAAACAGGTATACAGATTTTGTTCCTAAATACAAAATGAACAGCTTTGTTTCTAAATACTATTTATCAAAATTCAAAACCAAAAATAACAGKGTTTACTTAAAGACATTTGTTTTCTGCTAATAAGATAGAGGAAAAAAATAAACGAGAAAGAAAAAAAAAAGCTTTAATTATTTTGCTTGAAGCTAACAGCGTTTTCTAAACAATAAACAAGTTGCTTCCTGAGAAAGAGTAAGTTAACCGGTAAGGGGGAAAGGAGGAGGAAGAGGAGACACAGAGGTGATTATACAGGGCTGTTAATTGCACTGTTAACATCCCCTGCATGCCTCTCTCCCCCATCCATCCCCATGCAGCATCACAGTGGCAAGAACAGGCACTCAGAACTTTACATTTTAACTCTAATTAGAACAAAAAATATTAATCTGGGAGTGTGTAAGAAATTCAGCATCAACACATCATCTTCAAGTACATGAGCAAGAAATTGGAGTATATTTATATCATGTTACCCCCCCCCAAAATGGACCTATTGGAAATGGGACTGACAACAGCTTTCAGTCAAGGGGTTTAGGCAGTTCAAATCAGCTCTTCCTTTTGCCCCTCTGCTTCTTTTCTGGTCTTGCTCTTTATGTGCTCTGAAGTAATAACCTCTCAACCTGAACCTAAAAGTCTTGTTTAAACAACTGTTTCTAGAACATCAAGCAAGATGAGTATGCTAGGAATTACTAGAAGCAGGCTAGGATTAACAGGAGTTTATTAAAAAATAAACTATCTGTCAGGTGTGTGAGGGGGGTGTCTTTTGCAGGGGGGAGGRTGGTTTTGTTTGTTTTCTTTTTCCCCACAGAACGGGAAGAGAGTGGAAACAAGAAGGGGCCACCTGGTGTCTTTGGAAAATACTCAACGATCAACAAAGCTGAGACACATTTCAACAGAATCGCAAGTTTTAAGAGCCTCAAGAAGCCCAAGAGGCCTTGCCCACATCGTGCTGAACTGGGATTGTCCTTGCAACTGCAAAGGATCCTTTCGGATGGATGCTCACCTGCAGGGTGAATGAAGCCAAAGCTGCTCCAGCCATTTATTAAGAAGAGATATTTGGTCCCATGAATAAGGACAGCTTGTCTGTTTTGGAAGCTTTACAGAGCCCAAGTGCACCTGGCTTGTGGAGCTCTGCACCAGGCTTCAGGCTGATCCAAGAGCAAAGCTGCACTCTGCACTTTGAAGAGTTTGTCCTGCAAACTATTTTTTTTTTTTAAAAAAAGGCTTTTTATTAAAGAGCTCTCAGCAAACAGATCATGCAAAATTTCAACAATACAAAGAATGGGGGGGAGGGARGACTCCAGACAAGGCTCTGCCCACATTATTTGTCCCTTCATAAGATCTCGCCAGCACAAGTGTGACATTTGCTCTTCAGGAGAACAGCTGAGGAAGCTTCCTGATGAAAGAGCTAAGTGTTTGTGCAGAGGACATGCACACACACAGACACAAAATAAAGTCTGAGGGTGATTTTTTTTTTTTGGCTACTGTAATCACTGTGACATATTTTGGGGTTAGGACACACAGCAATGGGAGAAATAAAGCCGCAGGGTAAACGCTGCACACTCAGCAAAGAGTCAGGGACCAGCCCCGATGCAGTACAGGGCGGAAGGGAAAAGCCTCTTCCACAGCTTGGATTCATGAGCTGCCAGAAAGGTGAGGGAAGAGCATACACTTGTTTTTCCAGCATTAAAGGTGAGGTGATTTGTGTTCTATGATTCTTCCCACACTTCTGCCATCTCAGTTCATTCCAGCTGAGGGTGTCCGAAATCCAGACCCACGGAAGACAGCGGGTAACATGGGCATTAACAACACTGCCATTTAACCCATGCACACGCTCTCCCAGCACCCAAGACCATAATCTACTGCAGCCAGGAAGGCATCAAGCCCAGAACAGGATCTCTACCTTATTGTGCAGCGTTTGAGACCAGCAGAATAGGAAATCAAGCCAGGGCAGGCAGCTCAGTCCATGCACTTTATTAGCCCAAGGTGGTTGCTGGAAAACGCTCTTCATCCCCGTCTTCTCTCCTGGGCACAAGCATTGGCAGCTAGGATTGCAAAGGAGGAGGCAGCAGGGAGACGTTCAGGTGGCCACACGCTGAGGCCTGGCCCTGCTCCCAGAGGAGCCAAGGGGAGGCTCAGGGTCTGCGTGAGGCCTTCTCGACCCACCGCTTCATGGAGCGGGGCTTTGAGGCCTTCTCAGCCCACYGCTTCACGGAGCGGGGCTCCGAGGCCTGCTCAATCCACTGCTTCATGGAGCGGGTTTCCAAGGCGCGAGCCTGCTGCACGGAGCTGGGGTCRCAAGGGTGGCGGCTGCGAAGGTCCAGGTGATGGGCTCCATCTGGGATCACGATGGCCATGAGGGACTCGCTGATGTTCTGCGTCACCCCACCGGCAGACCAGGGATCCAGGCCRCCGTTGCTGCGGGGGAAATGATGCTTCGTTAGGCTGTCCCCACACTGCCAGTGAAGCCGCAGCTGCCGCCACGCACCCTCACTCACCACCAGGATGTGCTACGACCTGCCGACTTCCCGACCAGAAAGGGCCTCCCTCCTGTGCCCATGCCCTGGGTCCAATCCTCTTCCCAAATGGGATTGAAAGGGATATGCAACTAGGAGCAGCTTAAGCAAGGCTGCACTGCCATCAAGGATAGTGTCTACAATTTATGATAGTGTCCAAGCCTCTGGAAAAAGTGTGTTTCCCCTACAACTGTCATGTGAAAAGGTTCCCCTGTACCAAAACCAACTCAAACTCCAAAGCCAAAGCTCCTTGCTTTCCTTTCCTACAATCTGTCGTAAACTAATAGTCAGCTCAAGCATTCAGGGCCTGCATTTTCCCTACCTAGTGCTGTCTCTGTTGGGTGCCTGCCTGCTTTTGGAGCAGTCTAAAGCCCAGCCTAAAGCAACTTGTTCCCTCGTGAACAGATTTCACGACCTTAGACCATAAAATGCCTGGTCCATGGAGAAAAACAAAAGCTGGATTGGGATAAGAGCTTTGCATCTCTCATCCTTAGTTTGAGACTCAGCCTGGCCATCCCTGCTGCCTCTTATCTTCCTTTCTTACTCCATTAACGTTCATCCATCTTCCTGCATGAAACAGCCAACATCCAAATACTTATGTAACTGCACAAATGCAGACCTATTCCCAAATAAGCACTAGCCCTGTCCACAAAAGACAGCAGGAGGGTTAGAACAGTAGGTTAGTGTCAGCTTAGAGGAACAAGATCTGATAAATGAAATGACTGTTGGACATCGGATATGCAGCTAGTAAAACACCACMGTGACAGCACCAGCAACCACAGAGATAACAAGTGAAAAGTGTTTGTAGAAATAACTAGAAGTAAAAACCATATGCAGTTTGAGCTACTATTTTGAATTTGTGTGTCCATGGAAAATAAAAAAATCTTAAATTTCTGTAATTCTCTATTTTCAATGGTTCTAAACATGACTGAGATTAAGAAACATTTTGTACCTGCAAAACAAAATGCCCAGAGAGCTGCCCAAGCAGCAAACCACGTTTGATTTAGAAGGTCATCTGGATGAGCATTAGCCCCTTGGCAACAGGGAGATGAGAGTTGCTGAGAGCGCCAAGAGGGACACGACTTGGACGTTTGTGGCAGTGGCCACAGTGAAGGGCGTCAGGCAGAGAGCAGCCCCTGGCTGCGCTGCCAAGGGATGGCACCAGGGAACCCATCAGGCTGTGAAGTGGGACTTGTCAGAATCGCACAGAATCCCAGAATCATTAAGGTTGGAAGGGACCTCTAGAGATCACCTGGTCTAATCCCCCTGCTCCAGCAGGAACACCCAGAGCACAGGGCACAGGGCGGCATCCAGGTGGGTTTGGAAGATCTCCAGAGAAGGAGACTCCACAACCTCCCTTGGCAGCCTCTTCCAGGGCTCTGTCACCATCACAGCAAAGAAGTTCTTCCCCACATGCAGATGGAACTTCCTGTGTTTCAACTTATACCCATTTCCCTTTGTCCTATCACTGGCCACCACTGAGAAGAGCTTGGCCCCATCTTCCCTACATTCTCCCCTCAGGTATTTGTACATATTGATCAGATTCCCTCTCAACCTTCTCCAGGCTAAACAGGTCCAGCTCACTCAGTCTTTCCTCATACAAGAGATGCTCCAGTCCCTTCATCACCTTTGTTGCCCTCTGCTGGAACCTCTCTAGAAGCTCCACATCCCTTTTGTACTGGGGAGACCAGAACTGCACCCAAGCACCCAATACTCCAGTAGTGGCCTCCCTAGAGCTGAGTAGAGGGGCAGGATCACCTCCACTGACCTGCTGGCAACATCCTCCTGATGCAGCCAGGATCCCATTGGCCTTTTTGGCCACCTTGTCAGGTGGGTCTCAGCACAGGGGAACCCTAACACCCAACARCTTCATGGGGTCAGAGCTCAGTAGCAGCTAGAATGGGTTATTTACAAGCTACAGCCAAGCAGGCACTGGAGGTGCTCAGCTGCCTCCAATTCCACAGGATGGAATTTTCCCAGTGTAAACTGAGGTWAACAAGAAAGCACAAATAGAAACAYGAAGCTCAGCCACTTCTTTCTAGCAGTGGCAAGGTGAACCAGACTTCAGAAATAACAATTGCCAATGCAAAATATCAGCCAAGCAGATCAATTTTTTTTGCTCCTTTTCAGCTTATACTTCTAAGACAGTACAAGTGTGATCTTAGTTACGGCACAGCAGAATATTCCCTTTCCTAATGCGTTTTTAGAGCCTCCTCTGCCATTAAATCCTGCTCAGAACAAGATTTTACACACTCCTAGCAGCACTGCATGTATCCTATTTTTTTTTCTTTTAAATAAGCCCACACACATACACACAACTGCCTAGATTAATTTTTTAATCTTTTCTCACGTTTTCTTCTACCAGGCATGGTTCTGCCTTCTCTTTTGCTCCATTCCTTTCTGTAATGCCAAAAAATCCCTCTTTTGCCCAGCCCCAAAGCCCCTTCCAAACTGCCTTCATGCTCTAGACTGGTTTTACCCTCTCCCTCCTCATTAAACAAAAGGACAGCTGGGTGCCCTAGCTGAAAGTAGGGTACAAGGAGCTCAGCTGTGATCTGCCCACATTGAAAAGTTCCACCTTTTGGCCTGTGCACACCAAACTCCACATGGGCTGGAATCTGGAATGTTTCTGGAATGGGTGCCAGGTACCAGAGATACAAGCCCATCTAAATGCATTTAAACTAAGGTCATCTATCAAGGCTATGGCACAGGAAACCTTTTTAAGCACTTCAAGAAAGAAATAAAATGTCCACTTCAATTAAATTCTGAAATTTCAAGTTAGGCTCCTATTTACACTAAGCTGACTTTGACTMCCCAGTGTGTTGGTGGGGAGGCACCACGAGCTGCTGCAAACCTTCCGCTGCCGAATACACGGAGGGCACTGGGGCCAGGCAGGTCCCACCACAGAGTATTTCTCTGACCATGTGGATTCCAGTCCGAGTATGTGGAGTGGAAATTGCTGAGGCAAAACAGGACTGAAACCCCTGATGTCCTCAACCTCGTGTTTTAATAAAACAGTGTTTGTGCAGCTCCTAGGGAAGGTCCAGCAGAGGGCAACAAAGATGGTTAAGGGAATGGAGCACTTCTACTAGGAAAGACTGAGTGGGGCCTGTTTAGCTTGGAGAAGAGAAGGCTGAGAGGGGATATGACTAACATGTATAAGTACATGAAGCATAGAATGTAGGGGGAATGTGGCCAAACTGTTCTCAGTGGTGGCAACTGATAGGATGAGGGGCAATGGATACAAGTTGCAACACAGGCTGTTCCATCTGCATGTGAGGAAGAACTTATTCTCTGTGAGGGTGACAGAGCCCTGGAACAGGCTGCCCAGGGAGGTGGTGGAGTCTTCTCTGGAGACTTCCCAAACCTGCCTGGCTGTCACCCTGTGCCCYGTGCTCTGGGTGTCCCTGCTGGAGCAGGGGGGTTGGACTAGATGATCTCTAGAGGTCCCTTCCAACCACAACCATTCTGGGTTTCTGTGWATAAAGGTGCTCATCTCAGGAGAGGCAAGGAGAATCTGAATGTAGCCTAAGTAATACACACACCCTAAGAAAAACTTGGTAAAATACCCCTGACAAGGTGCCAAAGGGGCACTGGGAATTCCCAAGTCAACACTTGGGACCTGCAGTTGAGTGGAATCCACAGGGTGCTCTGCCCTCAGCACAGGCAGAAGCAGCATCACGAGTTTCAGCATCCTGGCCAAATCCTGGAGTGGTTGGATAAATCGACCCGACAGTGGCTCTGTTTAGATGAATTATTCCTCCCTTCCTGCACTAAACTGTKGAGCAAGTTGCTTGACACTTTTACACAGCGCTTTTTACCCCACAGGGGGGCCACATCCCCTGGTATAGGCAGGGTTTTTTTGTGTGTGTGTTTTCTTTTTTTTGCAAAGCACTCTTTGGTGTTTGTGGATAAAAGGCTCTTATATAAAACGTACAGTGTTGACAATGTGCCTGTTTGAAGAGAAACAACTCAGCTTGAGATCCAAAGCTTTGTGTGTGCAGCACTTACTTCTTTCTCATTCATTTGGTTGCTTTCAAGCTTTTCTCATTTCAGGCTCCTTCAGCTGGCATAAATTCTTTAACACTTAGATTTGTTTGTCTATTGCTTACAAAGCATGATTCTAGTGTACAGAACTGTGGGACCTTGGCAATAAGCAACAGTTTTCAGAAATTAAGTTAGATCAATAATTTTTCCTATTAAAAACGGTGGGATTTCTCCCTTTGGAGCCGACATCCCGCTGGGGCAGAAACAGCAAGAGACAAATGAGAGGAAAGCAATAGGCCTTTGGAGCCAAACGAACCAACGTTAACGGCTGAAATGCAGAGAATAATCCCCAATTCAAGGCAGGACTTTTTGCTTTTAAAATACACAGCTATTTAGCAAGTCCAAAAGACTAATTCTCATTTTTGTTTAAGGAAGTTTGTTTTTGAAAAGGCCCTACACAATTTGGGCAAGAGCAGAGGGCTACAGCTAGGAGCTGCCCACGGTGAGCAGTGAGGAGAGTGAGTCAGGATTTCTGAGGGCACAGGCTCCAATTGGGCAGAAAATGGGTTTATTAAAGGCCTCCCTACCACGCAGCAACCTAACAAACAGCCAGTACTTGGCTGTTCAAAATTCCTATCACCTCGCAGCGAAGCACAGCAACATGAACCTCCCTTTAAGGAGAGCAGAACAGAATTTAACCTCATTAGAAATAAGAAAAGCAAAGGCTGAGCACAAAGCAGGCAGGCACTAGTTGTTGTATCTGACAGAAATGTTTGTTTCACTTTTTGCCCATGTAAGAAGGTGTTTTAGACCAGCTTCTGCTAAGTTACTGATATGCCCTGCTAGAAAGGAAATGTCTCTTTCTATTTGTGTCTTAAACAATCCTCTCGAAACTTAACCCAATTATTAAAATTAGGAAAGTCCCTCATGCTACTTCCCTCTTTCAAAGAGAAAGAGAAGCACCACGTCAGCCCTCTGCAAGACTATCACCCCGAGCAACAATTTCAGTCACCAAGATCTTGTGTTGTAACTAAAGCTTGTTTAGACTTTCCTTTCAAGTGGAAGAGACAGCGTTTTGGCTTCATAAAAGCTAAACAGATTTACCAGCATGAGAAACCTGGACTTTGGCCACAAGATAAGCAGGAATGCACAGGGGAAGAAAATTGCATCTGGCAAAATCCCAAGCTAATTTTTTTCTTTTAGAGACACACAAGCAATGACAGGACAATTTGCTTCTTTGGTCACTGCAGATTGTTCATTTTACTCTGCAGGGAAACAAAGAAAGGCCACCATCATTTATTCAGCTGGAAGGCTGGAGGGGGATACTTTGCTACTCAGAGCAGCCTCCCTGCACTGACTGGTGGAAAAGCTGGAGCAGGGCTCACCTGAAGATGATGTTACTGTGTGAGCTGATATTTTTCCCTCCATACATGGAAAGGATCCACGAGGGCCGAGGCCTCACTCCCCACAGCTTGAAACACTCGTTCGAAAGTGCATCGAAGTCCCACTTCTGGGGCTCAAACATGTCGTTGACACCATCTGTGCACATGGGCATCACCATCTCAGTGCAAGCCTGAAAGAAAGAGCAAGGCCACAAGATGCACTCACACTCCTAGGAGACTGTCCAGTGACTGCCAGTGCAATGTTTAAATGAAAAAAAGCGCACACGGAATTCAATCCATCAGGAATTATCATGCTATCAGAACTCAGATAAAGCAAAATCTTTATTTATCAGCCACAAATCAATCCCTGGTCTTAGTAGTAGCAGCAAGAGAAAAAAAAAGAAAAAAAAAAGGCAAGAAAAAGAAAACAGCCTGAAGACCTCACACGACCCATATCTACCAGGGTAACTACAGGGTCCACTCTCACTTGCCTTTTTTGCCAGGTCCCCTCAGAAGCAGGCAGGAAACAAGCTGCAGATTGGAGGAGTGGTTTTATGAGCCCAGCTGCCATATTCCTTTTTTATCCATGTGGAGGGGAAGGGAACAGAGCCAGGAGCAGCCTGTCCCAGCCCAGACACCCAACTTGAACAACTTGGTTGCTCAAACCCTTGACTTGCATCCAAGTCTCTTGGCTGAGACTTTTACTATAGACTCACACATTTCTGTTGTCTGCTTGATAGGAAAGAAGGTGCCTCAGGGAGATAGAGCATAAATAGCTTTATTTGAGAGAAATTAGTATCAATTGGCATACATTAGTTAATATCAAAATCTAATAGCTATCCCTATTTCCTACAATTAGAGCATGGCATAGAACTCTTTGTTACTCTTATAAACAAGCTTGAAGGTTCAAGTTCTAAATGAAGCACAGAAACGTGCAGAGCTTGTGGCTGTTTGGAGAACGTCTAACAACAAGAACTGCCCATGCAATTGGCTATGAAAATCGGTCATAACTTCATYCACAGAACCACAGAATGGCTGAGGTTGGAAGGAAGCTCTAGAGATCATTTAGGCCAACCCCTCCGCTCCAGTAGGGACACCCAGAGCACAGGGCACCCAGTCACAGCCAGGTGGGTTTGGAAGATCTCCAGAGGAGACTCCACAACCTCCCTGGGCAGCCTGTTCCTGTGTTCATTTTCAGTTCTAAATCCAGTCTGATTTTAAAGACTTAGATTGTAACTAAGGTTATATATAAATAAGCATAAAGTAGCAACTCTACTGCATTCCAAACAACCCAAACCACTTCACATCTAGCCCAAAATGTTAACAGTTAAATGATGGATTCCACGAGCTCCAGACTCCAAAAACCTCACGGAGCTGCATTTAGAGAGGACAGGATGCCTACCTGGTAGTACCAGCCCATCTGGCCCAGATTCTTGGTGGCAGTCTGAGACATGTCAAAGCATGAGGCTTCTCCTGAGTAGTTGTAGTAGACATTTACAGCCTGGAAAACATTCTGCAGCAACTGCTTGTCTGGAAGACTGGGATTCGTCAAGAATTTGCAGACTACCTGTTATGAAAAGGGAAGATGAGAATCTCAGTCTGCAAAAGATACATATTGAAACACTATAACTGGTAGAATATCTTTTTCTGTTTTTTAAAATTAATCTTTTGTGCTTCAAGATATTGCCTTTTTCTGAAATTACCCTATGCATTATACTTCTATTATTTAGGTTGCTACTATTATATAGTAGCAATACAAGATTCTTGCCTTTTCATGTTTGGAAAACATAAGGCGGTATAATGAAAAGCTATTTTGTTGCTGATGAATTAAGAGAGCCCTTGTGTAAAGATAAACTCAGAATTTTAACTGGGGACAAGAACACACTGGAGCTGGCATAAAACAAACTAACAAACAAAAAAGAACCCAGAAAACCCAGAAACCACCATACCAGAAGGATTTTTCATCTCAGAAAATATAAAAGAGAATATCTGCTTCCTGGCAGGTCTGCCTTCTTATAGCTGTTGTTATGGGTGTGGGATAACACAAGGACAATGAAGGGAAAGGCCGTGGATTTGAGCTCCTAGCCCAGCTGCACAATCCAAAATTATTCCTGCATAGAGCAACAGATGCACTGCACCTCTGGAGCTGTTCAAGTGCAAGATTATGTGCACACATGGTCAACTGAGAGGATTCCTACTGGTTATTAATGAGTGATTACAGGAAATTAAAGTAGCAGTGAATTACACTTCTTTGAGGGAATTAACTTATCCTCCAGGCCTCCCCTATTTAATCTTTTCCCTCATTTCTCTTGCGGAAGCTCAAAATCTGATCCCTTCCTGCTTCCCAACAGACAAGGCCAATGTGTCTCACCACCCCAAGTGGATTTTATGGTTTGGGTAGCTCAGCCCCCTGTTCCAAACGCAGCAAGTACCGGTGTGGAGAGCTGACTGCCTGGTGCAGATACACTCTGCAGACATGTAACAGCACAGGGGGCTGCAGGGAGCCCTCTATCCAAACCTCAGATAGGGTGGTGAAGCAGAGAGCAAAACTTGTGAGAACACAACAGCCTATGTTAGAGAACAGGTTAAGAGATATATATTCAGCTACTCTAACACACTTCCGCCCTATTAGCAATCCCATTGCAAAGAAAGTACCTGCAAAGTTTGTCTCACTTGGACTTCATACATTAGCTTTGTCCAGAAAAGCAGAAGCCTACAATAGCTCCATTTTATTTCTAGCAACTACTACTTAGCAGCAAAAATATAAGTGATACTTTATTTATCTCGCCTGCCATAGGTGGCAACCCAAAGACATGAAGGGAAATTCAGTTAGGGACGAACAAGAACAAACAAGCTCCAAGAAAACAGAAATACCGGAGGGAGCGCTAAAGATAAACARAACTTCAAAATAAAGGTTTGCAGGTGTGAAAAGCTGAAAACGGCTCTTGAAGATAAAGGTGCTAAGTTACCTGTATAGGCCAGGCTGGCAGAGGCTGTAGGAAGTCAGCTTCGTAGGGATAATCCACCATAGCCAAGTTCACCCATGTCTCAGCCAGCCAGCTCTTCAATATAGCAGCATCCTGAAGATTTTTTAATGGGCTGCACAAGTGAAATGCACTGGAGAGCCACTGCAAACCTGCATCTTTTTAACAAAAAAAAAAAAAAAAAAAAAAGAAAAAGGCAGAATTAATACATGATGTATCTGTGTCAATCACATATAGGCCACCTGCATTTCTGTTTAAAAAACACATTATATATATATATATGTTATATACACAGACAAGTTATGACACAAGCTCACTGATTTTAAGAAATATAAGCCTGAATACAGATATTCTTGGAAAAAGAAAAGCATTGAGAGGACCTACCTGTTGAAGAGAGACTGTTAATGGCATTCCAGGAATTCCGGATGCTTTCGGAGCAGCCCTTCCCACTCTTTTTGAAATCATTAGTCACTATGCTGAAGTAAGTGCCGCAAGGAACCAAATCACCAAACTGCCAGATTGGGGCAGAGGCTGCCAGAGCTCTGCAAAATGCACAGAGATGGTCTAGTGACGCCTGAGCCTCTGCAAAGGGGCTTCCCTCCCTTGGGCAACACCCTCTGCACAGCCACTATCTACGGAGAATCTGTAATTCTGCTTATTCACCCCTAGCTGAAGTAACCAAAACATTGCAAAGCGCTTCCCCAGGTCATCAAGCAAAGGCTACTGACCTTTACTAGCCTCAGATGCCAACACAGAGGCACAGGGGATACATGAAGTAGAAATTCAGTTTGTTTACTTCATATCTCATTTTCATCTAGCATCCAAAACTTTCATGCTGGGCCTTGAACACAATCAGCTAAAGCGAGATTCCCTGCACACAAAAACTTATTCCCTAGCAGACAAGAGGGATTATTCTTGTTTCCCAGGGGGGGTAACTGAGGCATTAAAGAGATTCAAGTCCTGCTTCAAGTCACCAGGAAGACCATTATTAAATTAAGAATTCAACACCACAGTCAGAAGCCTAGTGTCACGAGAACATTTTGCAATGATACCAAATACAGTCTGACACCAGTGGAGTAAGGGATAATGAAGAGGCTGAAATCAAGGAAACTAAAGATACTTACAAATTCAGCGTTTTCACTGGTTTTCACTGTTTTCCACGTTTTCAGACACACACCTAGTGTGCTAGTACTTCCTGACCTACAGTGTCTTGCTGACCTACAGTTGTCCTTGTAAGAAGGAAGTGCCTCTTCCCAAATTCAAAGCATATTAATTCCTCTTTCCAAAAGTGAAAAATCCCAGCCCGCTTGAATTGTGCCATAATATTCATAGGACTCAAGCTACAAACGCCTGGGATGACAACACCTCCGTGCTCCATAGGGACACTCACCCAACGACCACATGAGGGTACTTCATCCGAAGCCACGCTGCCAACATCCCTCCGTAGGAGCCTCCAACTGCGATGACGGGACTAAACTGGGCTCCTACGATGCTCCCCTTTAAGTGCTCTATTAGCACTGCAAAATCTGCCAGTGCTTGCTCGGAGGTCAGGTAATTCAGATGCTTGGAGTCCTGAAGCAAAGCAAGCAGGTTGTAAGTGGCATGGGAAGGCTTCCAAAGGCAACCCTTCTCCTTGCAGGAGCTAGGGAGTTCTCAATCTGTGCCTCATAGCAACTGCAGTGTTTCTTGCAGGTGTTTCTTGAAAAATGCCTACAAAAATGTTCTACAAAATGTCAGACTATTTTTTTTTTTTAACCCCACATCCTAGAATTAAGAGTTACAAAAAAGAGATACAAAGAGATACAAAATGTTTAGGCAAGTCTAGCACATCTGAGTCTTACTGGTCTCATTCAGGCAAGCGGTCAACGCACTACCAAAAATTAAAATAGGCAGATGTATTTTAATATAGACCACATCTAAAGAGTAAAGGAAATAAGACACTTACACTGAAAGACTCATTTCCAAAGGGCAAAGATTCTCCGTAATATCTATGTTCAGCAAATACTAACATGGCACCAAGTTCTTCAGCCACATCCCACATAAAACCCTGGTAAGAGGGGAAAAAAGGACATTTCAACAAGTTAAAAGCTAGCTAGTTCAAAAGGTCTACTTTCAATTTAGTTTACCTGAACACACATTCTTTCAWATGGAAGATATCACTACCAAAATACAGCTAGAAAGAAGAGTGTAACTTGCCTTTATGGTATCCTTGAAGTAAGAAAATTCRCAGGGCAGATATCCACCAGGGGATATAAAAAGGTACATGTGAAAATAAAAATGCAGCAAAACAGTAAGCAGCAGTTTTGTGAGGGTGCACTCAGACAATCCTGCCAGAACTGCTATGGCACAGGCTGCGCTCACAGGAAAAAAAATAGATAAATAAAAAAAATAAAATTAAATAAATGGTCTTTCATTTCTATGGACTTCGAATATGGACACAAAAATTAAAAATTTCCTTAAAATTTTTCCTGTTCTTTTTTTTTTTTTAAGCTGATTTCTCTTTCTGAAAAGACAACTTTCACTTTAAATTGTATCCTTATATTGCCTCCTTGCTCTTCCATACTTTTTTCAGTAAATCACTGCTGAAAAGTAAGGATTGTTATTCAAGAAGAATTCATGTTATACATACTGTGTTGTTGCAGAACCATGTGATGTCTCCTTCGTTGCCTGTGTAAAATAGCATTGGTCCATTATCTTTTTTCCAGTGTTGATCTGCTATTAGGTATCGCTGCTGGAATGTAAGATTTTCGTCAAATCCAAAGTGATCAATCTGTCAGAGCAAGAAAAAACATCTTCAGAAAGTTAAAATAGATCATGCATTGAACTGCAGGGGGTAGCAGTCACTTCACAGACAAAAAAATAAAGTGAAAAGTTTTACTAAGATCATAAATCTAAAACCAAATTCCTTTATAGTCTTGGTTTCCTAACGCATCAAAATCCTCTGTCTTATGAGAAGAAACCAACCAGAATTAAGTGTATTTTCCGGTAAAAAAAAAAAATATGTATATTCTTTCTACAATAGTATATAGGATGGAGATGTTCTAAATGTATTCAGCAAAAACACACAGATCTGCTGAGAAATCACAGAGTTTTCTGAGAGGAGACTGTACCAGTTAGGAGAGAGTCGCTGTTCCCCAACATTCAGAATCTTAGAAAAATTCCTGACTTACCTTAGCAAAAATAAAATAAAATAAAATAAAATAAAATAAAATAAAATAAAATAAAATAAAATAAAATAAAATAAAATAAAATAAAATAAAATAAAATAAAATNAAAATAAAATAAAATAAAATAAAATAAAATAAAATAAAATAAAATAAAATAAAATAAAATAAAATAAAATAAAATAAAATAAAATAAAATAAAATTCCTCTCTCTCTTCCTTTTGGCCTAGGGTTGAAATTTAAGCAGATTCACATCAAAAGGTTGTTTGCTTTTCCTTTGCTTTCTGCCTAACTCTTTGGGGGAAGAAACCCTAATTCTCTTTTGTCAGGTGCTTCTCCTCCCCTCCTGCCAGTTTTCACTAGTTCACACCCTCTGCAGAATTCCCTGCTTTCCACCTCCCACTTTTCCAAGTATCCTCAGTCTCCAGACAAGGCGCTGCCTCAGTTCCGCCTTTGCCGTGCTTCCCTTCGGGGCCGTCACGGCGCAGGCCGGAGCTGCCGGCGGTTGGAGCCCGACACCTGCCGACAGCCCCGCTCGCCCCTCCGCCTTCACCAAGCCCCAGGCCCTGGGCTGCCCCGGGAAGCTGCTTTTCCCATTAGATCCCTCTCAAGAGCATCTGTAAATCAGGGTTTTAAAGGAGCAACCACATCAAATCCAAGCGTGTGGCTGCTGGAGGAAGTGAACTCACTGCTAGGTTGATTCCTGCTGCTCAGGAAAGGGAGCCGGACTCTTGATCCTGCCGCTCTGCACAAAATGTCCCACTTTGCAGCAAAATGTAGSGACTTATTTATGATATACGGCATATTATTGTGCATATACTGAATTCAAGTCTGGACAACATAAACTGGGTTGATTTAACATGGATTACTACCTTGGTCCTTTTTCAAGTGCACAGCCAATATTCTACTGATTGTAGTCTCACCTTTTGCATTAGGTATAATCAAGCAGGACTCCCAGGAAGGCAGAACAAACTCAGCAACTGACAAAAATCTCTGGTCAGGAGACTTCGGGTTAATTAAAGATTAGATGTATTTATTAGAGCACACATAATCAAAAGTAAAGTACAGTTTTATAAAGATACACAGATATTCCATGCCTGTTAGTAAAATGAAGTATCTTTCACTACAGACTTTTGTGGTTAGGCTGCTAACCAGAGAYGGCAAAAAAAAATTGGCTGAAGTCTCTTCCTGATGAGGAAACATCCAGCACTAAACATTTAACCCCAAATCTCAGTTCTGCATCCTTCATATGTGAAGTTAGAGTTCTAGCAAGCAGGTTGTACCACAAAGTATTCACCTCTCCTGGCCTACAAAATGAGCTACCCAAATTTTCATAGGTCAGATGGCTTAAAATGTAACAGTCCAGTGAGCTGGGGGAACCACTGTAGGTCAATAAGCCCCTTTTTTGATACCAGGTTGACATTATTCAATGAAATACTACACAGAAAACATTCTATAGCCCAACTTACACTTTCAGTTCTCACGACACTGAAAAATTAGGATAGTAAAATTCAATTATGTGCATATTTTTTCCTAAATTATCGCTGATTCTCTTTTTTTGATATTTGGGTTACTACAGCTTTATTCTGCTGTGAACTCTTTGTTCCTACCAAACAGCGAAGACTAAAACCCCAGTGGCTCTAGTGAGGGTCTCCCAGTAGCACCAGGGAGTAAAGAATAGGAATTTGGGTTTTCCTTTGACAGGTTTACTGGCCAAGTTGACTGAAATCAACTTGAATCCACCCCTTGGTGCAACTTCACTCATTGCCATCAGTTGCTTCTCTCTGGAAGCGACTAGAAACACAAGATCCTAATATTCACCAGGAGAGCAAGAATTTTATTGCTAGATGATGCAGTTTCTCATGCTGTAGCAACTTGCCTTTGCAAATGTAAAATATCTAATACGAGCAGAAAAGAAAATATACTGGTAAAGCAGAAGACATCCCAAGTACCAGTTGTCGGTAATGAAATCCAAAGCATTTCTGAGTTTCTGATCAATATGCAGCTTGGAAGCAGTCCAAAGAACATCTCACAAGGGGAGATAGGTCTGAAAATGTGCAAGGACAGACTAAAGATGCTCAAGCACCACCGTAAAATTGCAAAGCGAAACACTCCGACATGACAGGAAAGCTGCGATCCAAGGACAGCAGATGGAGCTGTCACCTCTCCCAAGGATCTATGGGGATCTCCCTCAGGGACAGCTCCCTGCTCTCCTTCAGCATGCGGTTTCTCTTGCTATGTAGCGCAGAACATAAGTAAATGCCATCATGTGTCAAACTATATTTTGAATTCAAGTTACTCAGATTTCTTTTTTAAACTGATTTTACTACCAAGTCAAAGCAGAAACTTTGTTTTCCCCTCTTATGCTAAAGCAGTAAGACAAGAACACCTACTTTTGCAACCAGGCTACCATGGCAGAAAGGATGAATAGCAGAACAGGAAAACATTCCATAATTTTTCAAGTACCATTCAAAAAGTGAGGATAAATCTAAGAAAAGAAGGGGCACAGGAAGTAACAAAATAGATTTAAGGCACCCTTTTCTACACTGGGACGTGCAGAACAGGAACAGTTGGGCGAGCTGCAGCCCTAAGCAGCAGAGCTCATGCTCCTGGTTTGAGGAGCTCCCTGGCCCGGGCCACTGAGCAGCCTCATGGGGAAGGGAAGGGCCACAGGCACCTCAGCACCTTCTGCTYCCAAACCAAGGGTGTTACTTTCACTTTACTTTACATGAACATGTGTATCAGGCTTATGCTAAACTGTCGATGACAATTTGGGGTTATCATTGTGAATTACTTTTTTGTATTTTTCTTTTAAATGGACTTCCCAAACTAGCTGCTCTGCCACTTGCTTCTCCCCTGAGAAACAGACGAAAAACAAACACACAACAGATCTTAATGGACAGATGTTAATCTGCTTAATATGTTACTGGATGTGCCCAGAAACTACAGGAATCAGCAAAGTGTCCAAAACAGGACAAGGGCTCTAAAAAAGCACTTCCTCCTCAGCAACACCTTCAGCTCATTAGGGAGCATGGAGTCGGGCCAGCCAAGCCGAACTTCCTCCAAGGGGACTACACTTCATGGGCTTGCGTCTAACAGCAAAGCTGTGGTCATTTATTTGTTCCTACTCTTACGTTTCTGGCAAGATGGAAGCTTCTAAAAGCCCTTCTGCCAGGTCTTGTGTTCCAGTTCTCCAGTAGCTTTGGTTTCCTAAGCTTGGATATACCACATGAAATGGAGTCACTTCATTGTTTACTGGTGAGAAGCCAGTGGATTTTAGAGACTTCCACCCTCCAGCATTCCCGGAGATGTTTTGAGTACTCATCCTGTCTGAATTATTTCCTCAGGATAGGAAGATGCAGGGAGCCCAAGGATATCCTCTGGCCATGAACAGCAGCGGGGGCACCAGCCTCTTTGGGATTTTAGTGTTTCTATTCCTGCCTTTACCTTTCCAGGCTGTAGGACTTTGGGCTGATTAGTTGGCCCAATCATTTTCATTTCTTCTCAAGATGTTTCTTCTGTATAGGTTGATGCTCTGAAGGTTAGCTTTGCTTTTCATCTTTTCTGTTGTAATCGGGTATTCTGCAAGGTATTTACTATGGAATTCTGCATTGCTTTCTTGAGAGGCTGGGGCTTGTTCACAGGACAACAGAGATTTGCACCAGCCTGCTGAAACCCATAATCATTTAATGCTTTACAGAAGAGGAAGGAGACATAAAGCAAAGCAGAAAGGGAAACAACWGAAAAGTTTTCAACTCCCCATAAAAGCAGAGCAACTCAGAAGTTTTGAACATTAAATTTACTTCATTAATCATTATTGTAATTCATTAGTTTTTAACCAAATGCAGGCACAACAATGCATGCTTTTTATATATTAATTGATCATAGTTTCCATCCAATTGGTGACACTCTAGAGCAGTATCCATTTCCCAGTTGCCAAATGAGCTCCCTGAACAAGGTGATAGTCTGCACCAAAATAAATGCAGGCTTAAGAGTCTCCTCAGGGAAGCCCCTCATGACTTTAACTTCATGAACACATTGGTCTTTACTATAACCAAGCTTCATGTTTCTACTGAAGCAGAAGCTGTGCAGTCTGCTCTAAAAAGGCTGTAACCATCCAATGAAGTCTGTTTTTAGCACTAACTGCTGCGATTAAAGAGCAGCAACAAGGAAATTCTCAGACTTGATCTCCCTATGGCTCTCTATCATATAGATTGGTCACAAGGTATTTCAAAGAGAAAGACTGAAAAATGTTTGAATGGGTACATTGGAAGCAAGCAGCAGGTTCTTGTCATGTCAGGCCTCATTAGAAACAAGCCCCTTCTCAAACACTATATGAAAAAAGGTATTTTTATGTTGAAAATCTAACAGCCAAGGAGAAGAAAAAAACAAGCTGTTTTAAAGGCCACACTGCCCACAGTTTTGTGCTGTCATTGAAACTCTGGATTCTCCTTACCATGCAAGATAAAGCTCAACCTCCTCATGGACTTCAAAAGTTAAGTTGAAAACCAAACGCCAGCAGTCACAGGAAGGCCACAATGCCTCACTGCAAGTTCTCCGGTTGGGAGGACAGTCAGTCTCCAGCCATCCCCGAATTTTCTGCCCC